AGTAAGTTTAGGGCTGCTTGAGTGCAATAAGCTCTTGTTAGTTCCTTGATTTGAGTTTGCATGGTTCCTTTTTCTTTCCCCCCCCCCCCCCCCCCCGAGTTGTTCTGATTTTAGTTGAGGGATTGTGGGGGGAAAGTTTTGAGGGTGGTTTCTTGGAGTGGGGAGTTGCGTGGGGTATGGAATAAAGGAGGATATTTCTGGTACCAGGGGACAGGCGGGGGATGGCTCAGTTAGTGCTTTGAGAACATTTCCATGCTTTCATGATCACATTTGTTATTGATGAAGGAGCTGAGCAAGGTTGAGACTGCTTGTATTTTTTCCAACCCTCCGATGTGTCCTTTGTATGCAGTCCTTGGTATTTACAGATGCTGTTAATTTAGTTCCCGTTTCCCTATAGTCCTTCGTGCGTCTGTGTAATAGAGTTCTCCAAGCTGGCCTGATTTCTTCACTATTAGAACATTGCAGATGTGTCAAGGATGCACTTGTTCCAAAAGAAGCTGGGAAAGGAGGCTCCGCCCTAACTTTTGTGCCAAATAGGCCCCATAGGCTTTGCTATATTCCACTGGCAGCTGAATGGTGCACTATCTCTTTAAAGCACGTATAATTTTGTGTATTGGCTTGGTCAATTTGTTATGGTTTAAAACTGTGGAGCCAGCTGTCTGCAATCTGATGTAATGTTGCCATGGAAACTAGAAATGAAACACTTAAGCATTCACCACAGAATTACTACATACAGCATTAGCCAAAATAATTAAAACTTGAGCCATATGGGCTTTTGGATGGAAAAAATTTGCAGCAGAGAAGATGGAAATGAAGCTGTTCCTATTTACAGTACTGTAAATCCATTTGTTTTCCCTGCAGAATATTAAAAGAGGCCTCTTCATGTGGCTACTTGAGTGTCAGGGTGTTCTGCATATTACTGGACTGTATTTGCTATACAGAGAGAGTTAGCTATGCTGAAATTTAGTGTAATAAGATAGCCTTATGCATGTAGCAATAAAGTATTTATGGAGTCACTACACTGTAAGTGCTCTCTGACCCCTGAGTGGGACACCTACTATGCTGAATGCTAGAAAGTGTCCTTTCTTTCTGATTGCTGTGGGACCCTTCCCTGCAGGAAACCATTTACCCTAATGCAGACTTTCTTCATTTCCTATCAGTCATTCTACTCAGGGCAACTCTTTGAAAAGGTCTTCCTTGCATCTCCAGAGAGGCTATACCTGTGCTTTTTGTATTACTACATACACTACATTGAAAGACTTAAGAGGATTTATTTGACTTCAGTAGCAAACTCAATTGATACCTTCTGCAAAACATCTTACAACTGGGAAGGAAGCTGCTTTTTCAGCCTATATGAATATTGATGACATTTTAAGAATTCAAAAATATTTTTCTACCTAAATAGGGACAAAAAGTCTGAATCTCAGAAATGTCTATTTACTGAAAATCCTCCAAAAAAGAATGGTTGGGGGTTAATCAGAATGTTTTGGTTAAATAATTTCAACACATCATTTTAATTTCAATTTTTTTTAATATTAGGTTTTAATACCCACAAAAAAATCACTTAGAACCAAAACTAGAAATTTCCATTTTTAAAATGCCAAAATGTGATGTTTTGACTTTCTGGGTTTTTTCCAGTTTTTTTTTTTTTAATAGGAAATTCATCACAACCAACTCCACCTCGCAAGTAGTTTCTGTTTCAGCAAATTGGCATTTCCTAACTAGTGGCATAAATGGCATACATTTTGGAATCCATCGTTCTCCTGTCTGCTCTCTTTAACCATCTTACTTCCCCACATATATAGATATAGATATACGAATCCACTGGATAATTCTTTGACTAAAAGTGACAACAAACTCTGAAATCAAGCAGAAGACTATGCAGTGTGGAGATGCATACATATACATGCAGATAGCTGTGTGTGCGTCTGTATGCACATGCGTGTGTATTATATATAGAGTATCATATATTATAGTGTGTGTGTGTGTGTGTGTGTGTGTGTGTGTGTGTGTGTGTGTGTACATCTCCATGCTGCATGATCTTCTAATTGATTTCAGAATTTGCTGTACTTTTAGTCAAAGGATTATCCAGTGGCTTCCGTTGTTTATATGAGCTGATAACTTTCAGCTGAGTAAGGTTTGGAAGTGTTCCTTTACTATCCATAAAATAACCTAGATTTGAAGGAAAGAAATATGGAATGATGCTGAAACTGCAGGAGATGCTGCCCAATTTTTAGAGGACTTGGGGTTTTTTTCTCCCTTGTTTTATTGAGTGGGTAAACTCTTGGTGCCAGGGATCACACCTGTCTGTTTATGCTATACCAAGTATTCTGAGTGTTACTAGAAAACACCAATAACTAATATAGTTGTCAGGCATTTGAGAAATGTCATCCTTATCTACTAAATCTATGCTTCTTAAGATGATGAAAGGACAGTTATTTAATTGACAACAGTGATGTTGGTAAGGTTTGTTGTTTTGGACCGCCATGTCTTTTCCCAAGAAAGTATGGTTGTAAATGGGCCTCTTGAGTTTTTCTGAGATCACATTTTTTTTTAAAGTAGTGTCCTCGAAAGCAAGAGTATATGAAAAGAATTGATGAGTATTTGGAATAATAATAAAGGCAATGACTTTTTTTTTTAAAGTTCATTGCATTTAAATGTCTGTCTAATTTGTTTTAAAATAAATGCATCACTCATGGAAAGGTTGGTGGTGGTCACATGCTAGGATGTGCCTCTTGGAAGAAAAGGTCCTATCTCTTGCTCTTGCTTCAACCCCAATCTCCATTTTTCCTCCAAACCAAAGATGTTTGATAAGGGATGTTTGTTTTGTTCAACCCTCAGTAACTCCTGCCAGCTCCAGTTTCTGACCTGAAGTTTTATCTTACAGGAAAATTTTTCCTGATTTAACCAGTCTGGTGCTATGCTACATTATTGTGTTAAAATAATAAACTTCAGGTTGGGGTAACTAGTACAGACATAGGTGACATGTAGGGCAGGCACGAGGGGGGGGCACGCGTTCCCCCTGAGATTGGCTACTGCCGAAGCTGCCACCGGCTTCTGCGGGCAGCCGCCGCTTGCACACACCCCCACCCTCTCCTGCACTGCCGACGCAGCCGGCAGCATGCAGTCCCTGCTCACCACCCTCTCCCTCCACCGCCACCAATGCTGGTGGCTATGGGCGGTCGCCACTTGACAACAATGATGCCAGCAGCTGCGGGCAATCCCTGCTTGCTGCCATGGTGCCCCCTCAGTCTCAGGAGGCACCAGTCATCATTCATCAGTACAGGCATAGTTTGTACCTATGATAATTCTTGCGTTCTAATTTTATCCTTGTTTTTAGGACCATTGGAATTGCCATGCGAGATCAGACCTGTGGTCCCCCTCCTCCTTTTTGCTTGGCAGTGGTGTGAATTTCATTGCAAATAAGTAAATTAGACAATGTGGGGCAAATTCTCTGCTCATATAGCTCCACTGGTTTCCCTGGACCTCCTGGGAGAATTACATTTTTGGTACACATGACAAATTTCCCAATAATTTTGGCAGGCAATGTCATCTGCTGCACCAGCTGAAAAATTTGACACCATGAAGTAGATTTGTCAAAGCTCTGCCTAGTTCCTCGTGACTTTTAAAAAGAATGAATCCCTTTGAGGCAACTCCTTTGTGCCTTTGAAAATGTACTTGTGTACACGTAGCTGCTCACTGACATCCTTGCCCATCATATGTTCTGTTACTTCGTTCTAATACACAAGCCAGTAAGCTTTTATAAGCACGCTGCTGTTTAAATGAAGGCAGGTCAGTGGGTTTTCTTTAAATCTAAAATATGAGAAGAAAATATTGATGCTGTCTGGCATGGGAGCTCAGATGCCGTGAAGTTCATTGACAGGAAGTTACATTAAGATTTTTGTGCAGGACCTTAGAACGTGATGAATTGGCTGGGCCGTGAATGCAGACAAAGTAAGGTATACGATCCGCGCAGCACTCCAGCTGGAGTCAGCGCTGCCCTCTGGAATGCGCTGTGTACAGTGCCAGTGCTGTACTGTACGAATTGGAGTCTTTCCTCCTCTCCCCCCCCTTTTTTTTTTTTACATTCTAAACAGATTAAAACAGAGGAAGTAGCATATTGAACATTGGATCTGGCTCGAAAATTGAAGCACTCATCTTGTTCACAAGGAATGGATTGTTTCAGCTTGTTGTGTCACTGCTGCTAGAGAGAGGGAATTTTTTTTTGTCTCTGTAATGTTTGATACTTGAGGGAAAACAGCTGGAACTGAACATACTGGATCAGATGCAAAATGAAACGGGATGTTGGGGAATATGGACTGTACTGTATATCTGAAAAGGTCAGAGTTTTCCCTTGGTCAGTGTCAGAGGAATGCTGTGTCCATCTTAATCCTAGCCTTGAGAGCCTTCAGAAAGAGCGTGGGGAGGGGGGAGGAGGAAAAGAGTATTTTGTAGCTGTGGCATTGTGTAACGAATGAACGAGGAGAGGATGAGGTCTCCTCCTTCCCTTCCCTTTCCTTGTGCTGCTGTTTTTGATTTTCTGGGAAGGACTGGAAAAAAGAGTCAATGATAGAGTTTCATTTTGGAGAAGCTGTTTATAACCCGGTTTAAACAGCACGTTTTGAGAGGCCAGACAGACCAGTGCCTGACCCAAACCACAGAAGCATAACTGGTGTGGTAAGAAGAGCCCTGGGAAAAGAGCCCTGCCTGAAGTGTTCTGAAAGGGGACGTGGAAGTAGTTATTATACAATGCATGGGAAGGAAGACAAGGGCAGGA